ATCGGATCATGGGTAGAAAGCTTTGAACAGGTGGGAGAACCTTTGCAATTGTTTTATGAATGTTTGCATACCCGCCATTTGAATCTTTTGGCTTGGTAACTGTTATGCCTAAAGTCTCATGTTTGCATATTCAACACTTAAAATTTCATTCTTACACACATACTACCTTACCTTATACTGAGATGAATATGGTATTGGAGAAAGATTTGGGGACCTGTCTTTGCTTTGTGTATTTGCTGATCTTGGAGACATATAAATGCTGTTTTTGTCATTTGTACTTACTACATATAAATCTTGTTTTTTAGAGGTCGTTTAAATGTCGATTTTGGAGCCATTTAAATGTGGTTTTTCGGACTGTTTTGACCCCACATACTTTTTATTTTGAGTCGATCAAGTGCTATCTTGGGTTAATTGAAAAGTGGGTTGGAAATGGGGCCTTAAACACTCTTTTGTCGGTTTCTTTTAAATACAAAATTAGTGACTTTTGGGTAGCATCTATTTGGTTCATTGGGTAACTTTTTGAGGTTTTTATGCATCGATTTGGGCACTTTTATATGCTGATTTTTGGAGGCTTTTAAGCATATTTTGGGACTAATTTGATCATTGTTTTGAAGAATTTAAACGCTTTTAGGCCTATTAACTTGCGGTTTTGCCCCTTTGCTTTGTTGATTTCTTTTTTCGAAGTGGGCCGGCCTCCTCTGTTGATTTGTTTTTGTTACAATGGTTAAGTCAAAAATGGAAATTTTTTATTTAATTATTTGGAAAACACTAAATAAATATTTGAGGATTATTTGGAAAACACTTCATAGAGGATAAATCACCTTAAATCACTTCAAGCACATATTAAAGTGTAGGCTTCCTAAATTTAATGAGCACACCCTAGGTGAGAGTTCCTTTACCTAATTTTCAAATCAATGATGAAACTAGTCATTTGACCTCAATTAATAGGTTAGTTAAAATGATAGACATAAGGATACACCAAGATGTGGTTCATAACTTTCTTTTTAATTAAATCAAGTAGTGAAATTCCCGTCATGACTTAACCTACAGTGAAAATCAATGCTTCGAGATTTGAGCTTGAGCCTTACACTTAAATCCTCCTGGCAATTGGGGACATTCTTAATGTCACATATAAGTCACATACTCCTAGTCCTTTATACGTGACATCGTGTTTTGTTTTACTTGTTCGTGTTTTTTGTTATTATGATTTTCTTATATCGAATTTTCTAGCAATTTGTTTAAGTTTCTCGTAATTTGCTGTTTTTTTTATTGCATTATTTACTTTAATGCACTTGCTAAACTCCTTGGGTAGAGAACAGTATGACATATGATAGGAGGTACACCGAGCTTTTGAACCCCAATAATAATTATACTTGCAAATACAAAACATGAACTAAACTTGGAGTTGCTGCCGTTTGGAGCTTGGAGCAAGTCTTCGTGGGCAGCACGACAGAGAAATAACAGGTGGAGGATGGCGATCTCTAGCAACGTATCTTTTCCTTTGAATTAAATAACAAGCCATGGGACTTTGAAAACTGCATGACAAGTAGTTGAAACAAAGGTGTTTTTGAGAATTTGAAGGAGTCAGCATGTGTAATACTTTAGATCTTCTGTGGTAATGTGTGGCATTAGAAGGACTTTTTTTTTTTAAGTTTGTTAAAATTATGAAAGTTTTGATGGCTTCCTTCGTGAAAACTTGAAAAATTTGCATCGGATCATGGGTAGAAAGCTTTGAACAGGTGGGAGAACCTTTGCAATTGTTTTATGAATGTTTGCATACCCGCCATTTGAATCTTTTGGCTTGGTAACTGTTATGCCTAAAGTCTCATGTTTGCATATTCAACACTTAAAATTTCATTCTTACACACATACTACCTTACCTTATACTGAGATGAATATGGTATTGGAGAAAGATTTGGGGACCTGTCTTTGCTTTGTGTATTTGCTGATCTTGGAGACATATAAATGCTGTTTTTGTCATTTGTACTTACTACATATAAATCTTGTTTTTTAGAGGTCGTTTAAATGTCGATTTTGGAGCCATTTAAATGTGGTTTTTCGGACTGTTTTGACCCCACATACTTTTTATTTTGAGTCGATCAAGTGCTATCTTGGGTTAATTGAAAAGTGGGTTGGAAATGGGGCCTTAAACACTCTTTTGTCGGTTTCTTTTAAATACAAAATTAGTGACTTTTGGGTAGCATCTATTTGGTTCATTGGGTAACTTTTTGAGGTTTTTATGCATCGATTTGGGCACTTTTATATGCTGATTTTTGGAGGCTTTTAAGCATATTTTGGGACTAATTTGATCATTGTTTTGAAGAATTTAAACGCTTTTAGGCCTATTAACTTGCGGTTTTGCCCCTTTGCTTTGTTGATTTCTTTTTTCGAAGTGGGCCGGCCTCCTCTGTTGATTTGTTTTTGTTACAATGGTTAAGTCAAAAATGGAAATTTTTTATTTAATTATTTGGAAAACACTAAATAAATATTTGAGGATTATTTGGAAAACACTTCATAGAGGATAAATCACCTTAAATCACTTCAAGCACATATTAAAGTGTAGGCTTCCTAAATTTAATGAGCACACCCTAGGTGAGAGTTCCTTTACCTAATTTTCAAATCAATGATGAAACTAGTCATTTGACCTCAATTAATAGGTTAGTTAAAATGATAGACATAAGGATACACCAAGATGTGGTTCATAACTTTCTTTTTAATTAAATCAAGTAGTGAAATTCCCGTCATGACTTAACCTACAGTGAAAATCAATGCTTCGAGATTTGAGCTTGAGCCTTACACTTAAATCCTCCTGGCAATTGGGGACATTCTTAATGTCACATATAAGTCACATACTCCTAGTCCTTTATACGTGACATCGTGTTTTGTTTTACTTGTTCGTGTTTTTTGTTATTATGATTTTCTTATATCGAATTTTCTAGCAATTTGTTTAAGTTTCTCGTAATTTGCTGTTTTTTTTATTGCATTATTTACTTTAATGCACTTGCTAAACTCCTTGGGTAGAGAACAGTATGACATATGATAGGAGGTACACCGAGCTTTTGAACCCCAATAATAATTATACTTGCAAATACAAAACATGAACTAAACTTGGAGTTGCTGCCGTTTGGAGCTTGGAGCAAGTCTTCGTGGGCAGCACGACAGAGAAATAACAGGTGGAGGATGGCGATCTCTAGCAACGTATCTTTTCCTTTGAATTAAATAACAAGCCATGGGACTTTGAAGTAGTCTGTCTAGCGCAACATAAATCCTCACTTTATCGTTTAATCCTTTTCACAGCAATGTTGTGTAATTTATGCCCTAACTGCTTTAGGTTCCGAGGTCGTCGTCCGATATGATGTAGACCCTCATATCTTCCAGGCTATTTGTATGACCGTGTCCCACAAATATAAACCTTAAATAATAAAATTGTCAGGATAAAACATCAAATTACATCTTCTCAAAATTGAAGCCAAATAATATGATAATTTAGGAAGTCACCGAGGTTTCTCTCAGGATCCGTGACATCCCCAACTTTTCTTTCCTTTGATTCCAGAAATAAATGTTTTCATTTGGTCCATTTCTCCACTTGACATTTCTATGTCCAACCTTGATTGAATTTATAAAGATAGATACCTCTAATCATCATCGAGAGTTCTCTTAAGTGAGTTCAGTCATTTCAGAGGTAATTAACTATAGGTGCTTGCCTCTATAGGGAGCTTTAAGAACCCAGTTAATATAAACCCTATCTAATTCATAATATTAGGTAGGGGAACTTGTCGGTCAACATAAATGTTTGTAGACTAAAACAAATGTCATTAATTTTTTAGTTTATTTGATCGAGCCTCATGGATAAATGATATGTCTCTTTCTCGGGATAGGTATGTCACTTGTAGTGTTGTGCTCGTGTATTTAAACTATTGTCTATTTGAGATTGGTTTGGTCTCATATCTTCAAAATTAAACAATTACATTTCAAAACTATATTTATATTATATTAAATCGAATATCTCTTTCCCAATTTGATGACCGACACTATGTGATGATGCATTTTCTGGATATGAACTTTCTTTAAGCAAGGACAAGCTATGTAAATCTCAAAGCATGTAGTAAACTTTGATAGAAGATAGAAGCTCAAATGATCCACAGAATTAAGCACAATGGCAAATCACAACATGAACTATGCTCAATGAGCAAGAGTTTGTATGGGAAGGTAACAAGGATGTGCCTCAACTCAAGGTTGCACTGCTTCCAAGGTCCTTGGAAGCTGCATTTTGACCGATTTCGACTAACTGTTGAAGGGGCAATATTCCTGCCCAAGCCACTGCTTTTTTCAGTGCAGCTTCACCACACGTCGTGTATCATGATGCTAGCTAAAGCCACACAAAACACTGGCCAAATAAGGAAAATATTGGCAGATGATAAATGTTGCGTAGATCATATAAAACCAAGTGCGAATTTGTATGTGCCATAAAAACATAAAATAAAGAGTTCCATGGAGATAACTGGTCAACTTCTAAAGACCTGAGTTCCCATGCCCACCCTAAGCAATGGACCAATAACGTATGATTGAATAGAACTAGTATCTATAATTTGTAAGAGGAAATGGGGGAGCTTGGTCTTTTGATGACTTGCAGTGTAGTCTATGTTTAGGCAATCTCATCTGAGAGAATGTTACCAAGGTGAATACGATTTGAATGTACAAGTTAAACAACTTTTGAAAACAGACAAGTCTGAAACTGAGAACTAACACCAAAGGTGACCCATTGTTCAATATTTTCATATAAACGTAAAATGACAATCCAATATTATGATTTTCTTTTATTTTGAATGCTGCTTATAAAAATATTTATAGGCAATACACGCAAAGAAAAAAACTGTTGTTAATTCAATCACCATTATATATCTACTCAATGAAGATTAAAATAGAAGATGGATGTTATGATTCATTCACTTGCTTCTATCTTTCAGATAACGAAAAGTTTTATTTATCTAAAAATGTAGCTAGCAGATGCCAAGGATGTCATTGAAGAAATTTGTAACATTGAGGGCATTCACTTTCCAGTGCTGACTCCTAATCTCCAAGTAAGTCGTCCTTATTATGATTCAGTTTATTGTTCTATGTATCAATCGTGGAGAAGAATTCATCACAGATGATGCTCCGCCAGGGTTTCAAGGCAGCTATTGCAGCAGGTGCGAAAGAAGTTGCGATATTTGCATCAGCTTCAGAAGCTTTTTCTTTGTCCAATATCAATTGTAGCATTAAGGATAGCCTTGCCCGTTATCAGGATGTTACTCATGCTGCAAAGGCACTTGGAGTGCCAGTTCGTGGGTATGCCAGAACTCACAAATTACTTCAACAAAGCTACAATAGTTGATGATTCTAGTTTGTTAATCTAGAAATTTCTTCTTCTATCTTCTCTAGGCACGCTAAGTGGAGTAATAATACTAAAAAAAAGAAAAAAAATTAACTACCTAAAACTAAACAACACTTCAACCTACCAATTCATTACAATACACTGTTAACTTGGAAGTCTTCACTCAACTAAACAACTCTTTGCGGTCGTGGAAGTCACCATGCAAAATATGTAGGCCACTTAATCTGATGAAACCATCATCATCACTAGTTTTATTCCAACTCTTTGAGGTTGACTTCTTGAATTATTTATCATCACTCATTCTTATCAAGTGTTGCATGTGATGTGACCTCTTGTTTTGGCATGTCATCTCATACAATTTTTTAGCCACGTTATGTGTTCTATCCCTTTTCTTCATATTCATGTTGCATTACTTCCATCTTACATTTTTCAATCATTTTATGCTCCCTGAGTTCTTGTTTAAATCAACTTAGCCTATACAACCTCATATTCTGTAGATTTTGCTAGAAGGCTCTTAAAATATTCAACTTACACTATCCCTCTTAGTTTCACCACTCATCTCAAGTGTCCTTCAACCTGCTAATACTGTGCTGCTCGAACTGTGACAGATATGTTTCCTGTGTTGTGGGTTGTCCCGTAGAAGGAGCAGTTTGTCCAACGAAGGTGGCATATGTAGCAAAAGAACTTTATGAAATGGGTTGTTTTGAGATATCTCTTGGTGATACAATCGGAGTTGGTAATCCAGGTAAATTTAAGGCACTTTTTTCTTATGTTTAAGTGAACATCACAGTCATTATTTGTTGGGTGAATATATTCTTTTAGAATAAGATGGGAAGCTACAAAAAGCAATTGCGGAATTTAATAAACATTCATTTGAGAGTACCTTTGTGGTCACTTTGCAGTATATAATACAACTTGTGTTTATTCTTATCATCATCGAATCATTGAATCGTTAACTTTTTGCCAAGTATTTAGTGTGGCTTCAATATATGATAAGATGCATGATGTAGCATTGGTAAATCATTTTGTCTGTGTTCAGATAACATGTTTCCTTGTTTCAAAAAGGAAAAATACTCTAAACCCAAAATAAAATAAAAAGAAAAGGAAGAAAAAAAGTAAAAATATCATGTTTCTTAGCGATCAAGTTATATTCTGCATGTGCAATGCTCTTAACATGTTATAGAAAAATATGTGCTAACAATTTAAAATATTTGCATAAGACGACATGTGTGGTACAATATGATGAACTTTTGATGTTTAACTCTTTTTTGTTACCAGAAGCTGGTTTTCCCAAAGGACATACTGTTTTTTTTTCTCATTTTTTAAACATTTTATGCATTTGGTAGTTGAGCATGCTACAGTCATGGATTTTTTTAATTATAATTTACATATATCTTTTCAATTGGACTTTGTAAGTGACGAGCTAGAATTAACTATTATTTGTACATGTAAGAAGACATTATACTCTTTAAGCGAACTTGTTCAGGTACAAAAGATTCTTGTGAGCCCAAAACTTGAAGCTGTAAATCTTCTCAAGGCAAAGTAGTAAAGCACTTAGTATATTACAACAAGAATATTAGAGCTGTGACTTTGTGTGAAGTATGTCTTCTTTCTTTTAAGATTAAATCAAAACGAAGCAATTTTTTAATTGAAGGAAAATAATTGTTGGCAACGGAATATTGTTGTATATCATTGCGGAATACAGGTGTATATATATGGACAATCAGAAAGAACAAAGAAGGAAGATGATAACTCTTCCCCTTAAACTAGAGCATATACCATTACGTTCCAACCAATTACAAATATTTCACGACAAAGAAATTCCAGAGCCTTGGTAAATAGATCAAATAATAACTTTTCACTAAATATGTGTGTATGTGTGTATTTGGGTTTCTTTTTTTTTTAGGCTGCATCATTGATAAAGTCATAATAACTTCCATTTTTTGAATTTTTAATGGACGTTCTTATTGCTTCATATATAGCTGCTTGATTATTACAACTAGGAATCATAAGTCATGTAATTGAGAAGCCAAATTGTCTATCAGAGATCCACATCATTTCACATGCATAATGAGCTATAATCTTATCTTCAAGTAGATATAAAAATAACATTATATTTCTTCTCCAGATCACAAGATTTTCAACCATAAAGACATGATAACCTAAAGTTGGCTTTCAAATCTTAAGATATTGCGTGCCAAAATCAAGAAAAAATTCAATTCTTAAAGGATTTTATTTTTGATAAACTATTTATTTTCAGGGGTTTCTTGATAGACCTTAAAATTATTTGATAGCATCTAAATGTTTCTTTTTTGGGTTTTTAGACCAACCATACCAACAACAGAGGATATTTTGAGTGACAGTAAAGTAGTTAGTTTTTTCAAACAAACAAGCTTCACCATTCTCAAATGATTTCAGAGCATCAATAGGAAAATAAAAAACCTTACATCCAAGAGATCAACTTCTTCATGAAAGTTTGTGGCATGCTTTCTTTGTGTGTGTGTGTGTGTGTGTGTGTTTGAGAGAGAGAGTAATTATTGGCATTCATTTCGAGCAAAAAGAGTCTTTAGTAATCAATTTTATGGTCCTCTGTATATTACCATCAAACTAGACTTTAATAGTGATTACCTATAAAAGAAAGGGTTTAATCTAAGGGAAATGTGTAACCAAGCCTCAAATATAATAATCAAGAATTACATGCTTTCAATTAAGGTCAATTTGATCCTCCTGTTATGTACTTAAAATAGAAAACACAAAAAAGACCAGACAAACCGACAAAAAGAAATGAATAGATAATCAAATAACAAAAAAATTGTATTGAATGGTTAGTGCTTTGGCATTTACTTTTATGAAGATCAATATAAAAAGTCTATCCGAGTGCTCAGTGATAGTCTAATGGTTAGCCATAGTAAACGAGATGGAGGAAGGTGATTCAGAAGGAGACTAACATTCCTTGTCATTTTAAACGCAATGGTGGTAGAGGTCTAGATGGAGGGTCGTTGGTAAATGGAGTGTGAGATAAGGGAAGGCCTCATACAAGGTAGCATTTATTACTAAGCAAGTAAGAATGGCATTCCACTAAAATTGGCGAGAATCGAGTATTTAAAACATTGAAGCTTATGTAGCATTGAGAAGATGATCATTTATATTCAACCACCTTATTTTATTAAGATTTATATGATTATGATAATTGATGTCTAACATCACTCTCAGGATAAAAAAGAATGAAAGAAGATTGCATAAATTCAAAAATATTTTGTGCGAAATGCCATTATTTGAATGGAAAATTATTATTCTAATTTTCCTCCTTAAATTCGTTTGAATGTTGGTACGGCTTTAGACCTACACACTTCAACAAGTATAGCCAAGTAACTCATGTTTGTTTATAATGAAGGAGATAAATAACAAAAAGTTATATAGATAGATACTAAGTTTGATCCTCAGATGTCTGAGTAAACTAAGTCAAATGTTGTATTATTACATTAAAAGTAAAACAACGGAAAGAAAACACTTGATGTTTACCAAATTAACACTTTAAATTCAAAATTTAAAATTTAGGATAGTACATTCATTTCACGAAAAATAGTAAATAGCAGCATAAAAATCCCATCAATAATAGTGCCAAATTCGACGCTAAACCCTATTACTTGCAAATTTAGTAATTTTGATGCACAAATGGATGTTGCAAAGCTATTGGCATAAAAAAAATTCCGCTGCTACAATTTACGGTGGTTTTGCGACAAAAGTGATCGTACATAATATTTAATGACGCATATTGTGTTTGAGCGATCTGATGCAAATTTACGTCAGCTATGTGTCAAAATATTCCGTCAGAGAAATCTTTGCGACAAAACTCAACGATAGCTTATTAATGTCTAAATTAGTGTCGGATGTTGTCAAACATTTGGTTGAGTCTGAAAATTGGATGCAAAGGGTTGCACATATATACAAATATGTAAACACACTCACACACTCACACATCTATAAACTTATATATATATATATAGACACGCACACTCACACATCTATAAACTCGTATATACAAATATATACACACACAAATGTTCATCTACACACACACGTACATGTAAATGTAAAGGGGTGCACATGCATACCACCCAATTCTTTTGTAATTAGTTATCTAAAACCTAAATTTTAATTTGACAAAGTTTAAAAAAAATTAAAAAAATTACATATATGCCACCCAATTTCTTTAGATTTTCATCTAAACGATAGAAATCAAGCATTCCTAACATATCACTAAAAACATTGACATAGCCCTAAACCTAAACGACAGAAATCAGACATAAAAACAAAAGTATTCGAGCAAATGCAGAGGAGAATTGAAAAGTAATAGATTACCGCGGGGTCGCCAGAAGGTTGCTAGAGAGGAAGAGAAACCCTAATTTTCATCAAGCCAAAGGAATAATAGAGAGGAAGGAGAGAAAGTACGAATGAGAGGCTAGCGGGCATGACATTATGTTTAGAGAGTTTTGTTTCCAAGTAGCGTCGGAAATACCTAATGATAATATGACGCTATTAGGTGAAAAGCATTCTGTCACACATTTCAGATGCTTTTTTCGATGCAAAATACTTGCGTCGGAACATTCCGACACAACTTTTCAGATGCTAATTCATACACTATTTGCCTATATTCTTGGAGTAATTAGTGAAGCTTTGAAGATGAGAAGAGAGGAAACTCAAATGTTAATGTCATTGATAAGAGGAAATTAATGATAAGGTAGTGAAAAGATTAGTTAAACAAAACTTAGTGACAACATCAACTCCTCTACAAATATCGTTATTTTTATTTAGTTCTTGAATAATACAAGAATGATAAAAGGTTATCAAATAATTCTGAGACTTGCTTATACTATATTGACAAAAAATTGATATGAAATTATGGGATATATAAAATATTATATAATATTAAGAAAGAGGAGATATAAATGGTTCTTTTTCTTTTTTTTTGAAACAGAAGAGAACTATCAACAAGAATAAAAGGTAAAAGAGGGATCGCAGTAATGGATGAAAATCATCATTCGTTGCTTGTTATATATATATGGGAAGAAGCATAAAGACATACTAGAATGAGTAACTGCAACCAAACTCAAGGAACAAACAATATAACAAACAAAAATGTGCATCACAGAATGATGTAGAGGATGGTCTTAATTCTCTTAAGAAATTATCACAGAGCCTAAAGAAGTACTAGATTGATAATAATAGGTCCAAAAACACATTGAGTGACAGGAGAATAGCCAAATTTCTCCCAATAAAGATTTGATGATTGATTTGTCCATTGACAATGTTAAATGGTGGGAAACAGTTGTGATCATCTCCATGACCAACATTGTGATCTCATTCACAAGAACTGCAAACCCTTTTATTAGAAATTAAAGCAGCTTGATGAAAATTAAAAAAGGAGAAACAAGTAACTCAATGAGCTAAGGAACTTTGGAGACTGTAATAGTGATGTTTGGGACGGTAGAGTCTTTTATCAGTTTAGTATAAGCAGATTGTTGGAATGGGTGCAGGTCAGAGAGGAACTTAGCAATGAGAAATTTGTTATTTTGTTCATGCCGAGAGAGAAAAGGGTAAGATAAAGATGCTAAATTTTTTTTCTTTTCAAGATCTTGTATTATTCAAGGATCTCCTGAATATATTTGCCTGCCTATTGTATGGAAAATAGCTTGAATTATCAAGTATATATCTGAGAGATGCTATCTTGAAAGTAAGTGGAGT